TATATATATAAACGAGATATTTCGAGATTGAATATCGTTCACGTCATATTCTCAACGAGATATTTTGTGACACGATATTATTTGCCATACACGCTTTAAACGAGAATTATCATAGATTATTTTCAATAATACTTACTTTTCGTATTTGAATTATTCCATTCGTATATAACGAATGTTTAATGAAGAATAAGTTATATGTTTTTATTAATAAATCATTTTATTTTTCTATTGAAAATGATGAATTATTCGAAACACGATATTATATACATTCAATATGACGTTAATATTTTTTCCATAATAATTATTATGAAATATTTTCATATAAAAAGCATTTCGTTTTGTAGAAATGACATTTCTTTTTTTTTTTTAAATGAAAATGTCGAGATTTGATTTATTTTTCTTTCACGTTAAGAATTTATCAACGGTGTATTATAATATGATTAAATTTAAAATTGTTCAATCGTGATTACTACATTTAAAAAAAATCCAAGTGAAAACTGATGAAAACATAAGCAAAAATTCTTTCTCATATAAAAAACCTTATTTTATTGCAAATATTGAAAAAGTGTTGGTCGTAATATACGGAAGTGATTATATTAGGTGGTTCGGAAAGTCGTTTCGTTTTTTGCTCACACAATAATGACATTAGTTGATGCAAACCGACAAATAGTAACACATGAGATCGATGAGAGGTCAAATTTATCAAATTCAACTATTAATGATCACTTGAAAGGTTTAGGTTTAATTTTGAAGCAAAAATTATCTTCATTTTTACAAAAGAAAAACGAAACGACTTACCGAACCACCTAATATTATAGGAACGATTAAATATATTTTCTATAACCATCGAATGCAAATTTCAATCAGATATTTCTTTTTTTTTCACTTTAATCCGTTAATCTTCTTTAGGTAAAACTATATTGCACAAACTTATTCTTTCAAATTAATGAATTTTTATTCTAACGAGAAACGAGGAGTCGTTTGGCGAGCAAGCTGTAAGATTATAGTTCATCTACTAGGCGCATTTAAAGCTATCTCACAGTAAAATCCTCCCTTTTAACATTTATGAAAGTTGCTCGACGAGAACGGGATAACATCAAATCGACTAAAAAAATATTTTAATAATCGTGACAATTTCTTTTTTTCCTTCCTTCCTTCCTTCCTTCCTTCCTTTCTTTTTCTTTTTTCTTTTCTCATTTAAATATTCGTAACGTCAAAACATTTGGAAAAACAAAAATTTATACAGTGAGTTGAGAAACAAAAAACAAATAGAAAACATAATTTAATTATTAAATGTGTATGTCAATTATTTAATATAAATATTTAATTGAAATAAATAATTATCTTAATATATATATATATATATATAAATTACGTGTCACGTTGTTTGTCCGCAATGGACTCTTAAACTATTGAACCGATTTTAATAAAATTTTACACACTGTGTGCAGTTTCATCCAACTTGAAAGATAGGATAGTTTATATCTCAATTTATAATCGCAATATTATTTTATTAATCGCGAATTATTTGTTTATTAACAAAGAGTCATGATTATCTCTGTTAGTTCGATAAGATTCTAACAAATGGCGGTATAAGGTAATTCGTTGACTTAAAGACGTGTGTATCGGACTAATTGTGAGTCACAGCAACGTGTGGCGGGGCACCCCATATATATATANTATATATATATATATATATATATATATATATATATATATATATATATATTATAATTAAATATAGAAAAAATATATATATTATAATATAATTTAATTATTTTATTTCTTCTTTTTTATTTTTATTTTTTATTTTTCAATCACGTTTCAAAATTAATTCAAAATATGTCACGTTTGTATTTTGTAATTATATTTTCTTTTTATTTCTTCTTTACTTTTTCTACTTGAAAATATTTCATAAAATATTTATACGTTTCCTGGAAATTAATAGATAAAAAAAAAAGATACTTTTCTTATTTTTTTTTTTATTTTTCTTCTTCTTCTTCTTCTTCTTCTTCTTCTTCTTCTTCTTCCTTTAATTTAACTTTACTTTTCATTGAGAATTCTAAAATAAATTATTCACAATGTCTATATTACGTTTCTATTTTCATTTCATGAACCATATATATATACAATATTCTTATTTTTGCTTTTTCTATCTTATTCTTTTTTTTTATTTTCTATTTTGAGATCAATGAAAAATGTTCTCAAGCCTAATGTCTTCCTTTCTATCTCGAAAAAGGTGCACTTTCACGTCTATGTGATTATGCGTTGGATGTCCTCGAATGGAATTCCATTGGAATTTCTTGATATCTTCTGCATAGTTCTCTCTCTCTCTCTCTCTTTCTTTCTAAAAAACAAAAAAAAACAGAAGAAAACAGACAGATAGAATTCTTGGGGCACTTGATATTCAAAATCGAATTACGAATACGTTTCGAAAAATTTTATTGAAAATAATCGAATATATCTTTTTATCTTTTTTTATTTGTTTATTTATTTTATTATTTTATTTTTTTTTAATTAATACTTCTATTATTTTTTTTTTTTAGTTCTCACATTTTAGGTCTCCTTTATTTATTTCTATTATTATAATTATTTTATTTAATTCTCTTCTCATCGAATTTATTAATTTAAATTTATATAATAAAATGTCTAAAATTTTGTTCTCTTTGTTACTCGTTTATTTATTTTATTTATTTGTTTTTAATATTTCTATTGTTTTTCTTTTTATTCCTCTGATTTTTCAATTCTCTCATATTTTTTGTTTGAATTCTAAAAAGGAACTTTAATTAAAATGACGATAATAATAATAATAATGAAAGAAATGCAATTGCTAAAAAGGAAAAAAAAAGAAAACACACATGTATATAATTTTCTCTCTATCTCTTTTCTTTCTCATGAATGTTCCATTTTCTTTTTCTTTTTCTTTTTCTTTTTCTTTTTATTTGGATTCTGACAATCAATCTTCGACGAGGAAAAAGTTCTTTTAATTTTCTCCTAAGATCCTTTTAACACGTTCACAACGTAGAAAAACGTAAATAACTAAAAAACCTTATTTTACGATCTTGAAATCAACATGAATACTTTGATGTTATCGATCGTATTAAAATAACGAACCGGAAAAAAACTTTTTTCTACGTTTCCTATTGCTTCTTATTTTCTTTTTTTCTTTTCATTTTTTTTTTTTTTATTTCCTTTCTCACGTTTCAAACTTTTCGAATTTAAAGTAATTTTGTTCGGTAAAGAAAAGTCAAAGAAAGAAAAAACAAAACAAAAAGAGAAAATAAAAAAAGGAGAACAAAAAACGATAAATAATTTAAAAAAAAAGAAAAAAAAAAAAGAAAAAAAGGAACAAAAATTGAAATTAAACAACTTTAAATCGTGAAATCTTAGTAGAATTTAATTAACTAAACGAGAAATACGATGTCGACGAATAAAACTACTACTTTTGCGCTGACTCGTGTACGTTCGTTCCACGTTATCGATCAAAATTGAACGACAGATAAGAAACTATTTTTTCTTCTTCTTCATCTTCTTCTTCTTCTTTTACTACTTCTACTTCTACTTCTACTTCTACTTCTACTTCTACTTCTTTTAAAAGTACGACCTAGAAGGAGAAAAGTAACCCGGTGAAATGGTTTTTTTATCCGTCGCAGATGGTGGAGAAAAAATTTCAAGTGCCATTTAATTCTCTAGTCCCACCTTTCTTCTTTTTTTTTTTTCCTAGTTCTTTTTCCTTTTCTTCGTTTTCAATTAATTGTTTATAAAAATAGAGAAAAAAGAAACCAAAGATATGTATTTTTTATTTCTACTTTTTTATCTTTCTTTAAATTTTGTTTTTGTTTTTCATTAATCGTTTATAAAAAAAAAAAAATAGAAAAAAAAATAGAAAAAAAAATGTTTTTGTTTTCTATTTTTTATCTCTCTCTGTTTAAAAAAAATAAATAAATAAATAAAAATATTTGTTTATTATATATATATATATATATTTTTTTAGATATTTATATAAAAATATATTTTTATATCAAAAAGAAGAATAGAAATATATTTTTGGTATTCCATTATTTGTTCTTCTTTATTTTTATTTTTTTTTTATTTTTTCGTATTCCATTAATCGTTTATAAAAAAATAAAAATAGAAATATATTTTTGGTATTCTATTTTTTGTCCTTCTTTATTTTTCTTTTTTTCTTTTTTGTATTCCATTAATCGTTAATAAAAAAATAAAAACTAAAAAAGGGAACGAACGTATTTTTATCATCGAACGTTGTCCGTTTAAGGATTTGTTTTTCAATTTCGTTTTATTTTTTTCTTTCTCTTTTTTTTCAATTTCCATTTTTATTTTTTTGCTTTAACTGTTCTCAAATTATTTAAACGATAAATTGTATAGTACAAATCTAAAGAATAAAACGTGTCTGGTTTTGTTTCCAAAAGGATTTCGTGATACAATTTTATATTGAACGACGCTATATAAGATAGAAATGAATGAAAAAAAAATTAGAAAATAAATAAATAAAATCTCGATGGAAAAAGTTTCATCGACAAATTTAATGTTTCATTATCGATTTTCGTTTAAAAAAAAAAAAAAAGTATCGCGTTTTCTCACACAAAAGTAATGTTTCTTTTTTTTTTTTTTTTTTTTTTTTTATTATTCCTTCTTGTTTGTTTCTCTTTCCCCCCTCCCCCCGTTTATTTTCATTTTATCGAGCAATAGCTTTGACAAATAAATTCTACGAAAACTTTTCTAGATAATAGAGCGAATAGAATGAAACATTTTAAAAAGAAAAAGAGAGAAAGAAAGATACCAAATTTGTTTTGGTTATCCCCATAAGCTTTTAAGTGTACCTTGATCTACCATAATTCCTCTGCGTTCTTTTAACGAAATATCAAGTATAATACATTTCTTTTATAAATCCTTAATATTTGTTATTACATCTAACATTAAAATAAAATCCTTAAAATTAATATATATATATATTTATTCTATGTTATTAATGTTATTATCTTAAAACAAATTCTTTGAACGATTTAAACCTTTTTTTAAAACGAATAATGATTCCTATCTTCGTTGTTTTTTTTTTTTTTAAATTATAAATAAAATTTATCTTATATATAATTATGTAAGATAAGATAAGAAGTTTATTTCAGGTATACCCTTTTAGGGTGTTTACCCCGAAGGCCCCCCCTACAATATATAATTATGTATTATATATAATTTTATATCAATTAAATATTATATAATTATGTGTATATAATTATATAATAATATAATATATATAATATAATATATATAATATATAATAATAACTATATATATTATTTTATTAATATATATAATTATTAATATCATTAATTTATATATTTTTTAAATAATTTTATTGATATATATAATTATTAATATCATTAATATATATATATATATATATATATAATATATAAATTAAATTATTATATATATTTATATTATATTAATATATATTATATATATTATATTATTATATAATTATATACACATAATTATAATAATATATTATATATTATAATAATAATATATATTATATATAATTATATAATAATGTATTATATAATTTATAAATAAAATTAAATAATAAAAAAATAAATATAAATTTAAATAAAAGTAATCTTAGATTTGTTATTTTCAAAAATACGAAAAACAAAAAAAAATATAATTAATTAAATATCAATTTAATACAACCATATAATCAACGAATTGTTTATGTTAATTACAATAAATAATAATAATAATAATAATAATAATAATAATAATAATAATAATAATAATAATAATAATAAATATTACAGTATCAATTATCAAGAAAAGATTTAGCAACGATCAGTGCAAATGCTGAAAGATATATCGGAACGCAAGGTGGTGGAATGGATCAAGCAATTGCATTTTTAGGAAAAACAGGTAACAACATATTCCTGACATAACAAAAAAAAAAAAAAAAAGAAAAAAAGTATAAAAAAAATATATCTAGTACAATCGAATGATAATATATTCACACTGGTGTCTATTCATAGGTGCTGCAATGTTGATAGAATTTAATCCTTTACGTACTACCGCCGTTACTTTACCTGAAAATGTTGTTTTCGTGATAGCACATAGCCAAGCTTACCACAACAAAGCATCTACCGTTGATTATAATCTAAGAGTGGCAGAATGTCGCTTGGCTGCTCAGGTATTATTCAAAACTTCCCCTTTTATTTCAGTATTGTAATATCTTCTTTATGTGTGTATGTGTGTATGTGTGTGTGTGTGTGTGTCTATACTTTTTATTCATTATTTTCCAACAACTTCATTTTTCCATGATTCAAAGTAAACAAAATCTTCTGTGCATTCGTCTCATTCTCTCGTACCTGGGTTGATTATTTTTTTTAATGTTTCACTTGTACTGTGTGTGATGTGCATATATGATATATTTTTTATTTTCATATTTAACCTAGTAATATCATTTTTCATCGATTTAATCTCTTATATAAGACTACGAACAGTTTGCAATATCGCTTGCTATTTGATACGTAACGTAGAAATTATTATTATGCTTTATATAATCGATATATATATATATATATATCGTATTTATATAAAATATATTATATTAATTATAATAATTAATTATATTTTTAGGTAATTTATTATTTAATTATATTTATTAATTATATTATAATTATATTAATATAATATTAATTATAAATTAAATTAATTTGTATTACTTTATAAAATATAATTATATTTTTTATCTAATATAATTATTAAATAAAAAAAAAATTAAATTAATATGGTATAAATATAAATAATATAATATATTAATTAGATATATTGATTATATTATATTAATATAATAAAATAATAATATTATAATAATATATTATATTATAAATTAAAATATATTATAAT